TTCTGGCTGTTCTGCCTATAAATATAATCAAGCCCCCAAAACCCCTACACCCACAGCCCGCACCCTTAACCGGAACTTTGTAAACCCCCCAAAAATCCCTGCACTGGCCATACCGAAAACCCTTAAACCCTCAACCCCAACAAGCCAAGTACCCAAAAGCCGCGCTGTAAGCCCAGTTTCGACGGCCGTGACCGCTCTGCCGCCCTGCGATGACTTCGAGCATGAAGATGGCCTTCCAGGCTCTTTTTTTCTCCGGTTTCATGCGCGGTGTAGTGTTTGGAGGTTTAAGGGTGGTGCGGGTTTTTATAGGCTGAAAGGGGTTTATCATTGTTGCAGAGGGCCTATCAAAAAAAGCAAAAGGAGAACTTCGCTAAAGCTTGCAATGTAAGACAGACCAGTGGTTTCATCGTGCCGTTATTTGTCAGGGGTTTGCAAACGGTTTCGGAGGGATCCACAGGGCCTTTGATACTTGTAACGAGGCTCAAAACGGGTTTTTGCGGGATATACACCAATAGATAAGCATGTAGATCTATCGTCTTCAGGGCGTTATAAAACGCTCATTTGGCAATAGAAATGGTTTCGAACGTTTTGTAAGGGTTTTGCAAGAGGTATGTGTCGGGCGTTTGCATGGGTCTTGCAATTTTACGGTGCAGTTCTGGTACGGGTGCTGCAATCACCATAATTATGCGGAGTTTGGTGTGTTTCCTTTTGTTAGTTATTGTCGGTGATCATTGCTGGCATTTCTGTGAATACGAGTATGAGCTTAATGTTCCTTGTGCTGCAGCGAACGTTGTGCACGAAAGTGGTGCTTTGCGTCATGGCACTTACGATTGCGGCTTATATTTAAGTGACAGCGTTTGTATCTGATTCGTTCATCATACTCTGACTACTGCTTCTGTTAGTATTACCTGTATACGTTCATCTCCACCCGTTTACAAGACACCACACGCGACACAGCTGAACTGAAGAACGCTCGTCCCAGGCCAGGAAGGCCAAGGGAATGGCAGACGATCTGGCAGAGAAAGCAGGCCGTTCTTTGCAGAGCTTTCGACGGGTAGGAAACCAAGAGTAGTTGTAAGTTTGTATATATATATATATATTATATAGATATACATATATGTATATGTATATATATATATATATATGTATATATAGATATGTAGATACTGTTGTGTATGCAAGCGGCACATGTGTGGTGCGCCCGGCTCCGTTTGCTCAAGCCTCCGTCGAAGAAAGAAAGCCAACTAGAGGTTGAGGTTCAGAGTTTCTGCGCGTGGGCCCTAGGACCGACCCTACGCCCTCAGCCTGGCAAAATCGCTAAACCCCCAAACCCAAACCCTCTAAACCCAAACCCTAACCTCCAAACCCTAAACCCTCTGCGTCCCGGATGGTTTCCTGGAAATGTGGCGACTCCTAGGCCAGAACGAGGCCGATGCTGACGAGTGCTCTTCTAACCGCTAGAGCCGCTAGCATGCCCTTTTTTTTGGGGGGGAGGGGGGGGGGTTGAGTTGGAGTTTAATCACAGGTTCTTTGGGCACCTTGTGCCAGGGATAGTTAGAAGGGTAGGGCCAACGGATAGCAGCAAAAGAGACAGCGAGAGAGCGAGAGCGACGCAGAAAGTTAGATTTGCTTGGCCTCCTGATGCCTCGTGATGCCTCGCATAAAGGAACAAGATGGAAGAGTCAGGGAGGGATGGAGAAAGAGAATGATGGGCCGGCTCACAATCGAACCTAAGCAAGACGCGCGTAATCATTTCATTGCGGTTTACCAGGAGTGTGTTACAACTATGTGTTGCCCTTCCTCGCTGTCCTCGTGGGGACGTGTTGCCATGGCAAGCATCATTTTTCACCCAACTTTTCGTACTTCTGTCAGTGGTATTCGTATCGGCCTGAGCCATACGTCTTGTCATTCTTATGGCTTCCACGTGTAACTTCGAATTGCTCCAGATTGTGGTAGTTGGGACAGCAAATCCGGGGTTGATCGCTGGTTCTATCCACCTCGAAGCCATAGGCCCAGACAGCCGAAACTTCTTAACACCCGAAGCCCTATGACTCCAAGAGCCCTGTCCACGAAAAGCTTAAACCCGTAAAAAAATCCCTCTACCAAGCCGGTGCCGCAGCGCCCCCCCAATTTCCCGTGCTCAAAGAGCCATGGACGATCGAACATGGAGCTGTTTGATAAGCCGTAAAGCATGTGAAGCCCACAGCTCTCGCCTTCTTTCGAATCCTTGAAACCTGAGCCTCAACTCTACTCTAAAACCCTATAAGTCCTAAACCCCTAGAAGTCCTAAACCCTACTGTTGAACCCTATGGGAGTTTATAGCTCCCTCATCTCTCGAAGGCAGGAGTTTCCCCCTGAATAGGTAGGACTTGGAAGCTTGCAATCGGCCTCGATGGAGACTCCTGCAGCACAGCCCCCAGCGACTCCGAACTCGAATGCCACGCGGCTCTCAGTTCTTCGAAACGGTCCGGGGAGGTGGGGGGGAGCTTGGCCTACACCCTTCAGCATGCTGTTGTATCTGCGGAGGCTCGATCGTGGGAGGAAGGTTCCGACTGAAGGCTTGGTCGGCAGTTGTGACAGTGCTTCCTTCTCGAGGCTACGCATGAAGATTTGAAGAGTTGTCCGTTCGCTCCTCGACTCTTAAGCCAACAGCGTTAAGCCCGAGACCTGAAACTTGAAGACCAAAACCTTAAGCCTGAGATGCATTCTCTCTCGCAAGTCTCAGGTTGTTGTGCTTGGTTTGGTCAGGCTTCCGTGTGTTCGTTGTTGAGGGCTAGGGTGGTAGGAGGCCCAGCAGTACTTCAGGGGTCTTAGAATTCCCACTGTTGTGGACGAAAACCCACGTATCAGAAGAAGTTTTACTTGGATGATTAGTTAGGATCCTCCCATCTTGCAGTCATCAGCGTTAGTCCTGTAAAGCGCTCCTAACACCCGAAGCAAACCCAATGGCCAAGGCAACACAGCGGCTGGCACTGCATGTCAATGCACGCCGGAGGCTACCAATGCATCTCAGCCCTACTCGTAATGCTCAGATGGCGATTGGAGATGCGGGCTCCTTCTCCGCGCCGGCCCTCTCTTTACCCCGCTCTCTCTGTATCTTTGTCTCTACCTCTTTGCTTGTCAGTGACTTGTTTCACCCTTTTTTCTCCACCCCGTCTGAACAAGCCCGAAGCCCGTTAAAACCTCAATGGTACGCGCCCCAACCCTAGCTCCCGCGTCGCTCGGAATGCTCTTTTCGGCAACGACAGTAACCGATGGAATTTATGCTAAGATGTTTCGTTTGGCCTCATATGAATGTCCCATAAGGTGTGGCGCCTCTTGCATCCTAAGCGCAGACTCAGAGGAGCATCAGCGCTAAACCTCAAACCCCATGCCCCCTTCGACTTGAAGCCCCACACCCACCTCCTTTAGCATGCTGGACCTCCCTGACCCGAGGCAGTAGGATCCACATTTTAGATATGGACCCAAATTCTCAGAAGCTTGAGACCCGAAAGCCCTAAACCCTTGAACCCTAAAGCCCCGCACAAGGTCTCCGGCCAAAGTGGCCCCAGCCACGGCGAGGCCGCCACCGACCGCAGCCCGCAGCTCCCTATGGACCACCATGGAGACGCCTGGATTCGAAATGGTGCTTAACTTTAGTGAGGAGACCCCTGTCGCTTTGTAAGCAGTATAAAGTATGATTTAAAACGATACTGGGAAAACTAATTTTAATTTCAGGACCTTTAAGATCGTGTTTTTCATCAGTGGTCTACGGGAATCATAACCATAATGACGAAATCGCAATAACAGTGACAGTGATACAAGTCACAGCATTGACAATAGGCTTTTAGGGTGTCGACACCACGAGTCACGTTCGAAAGGACAGCTTGGTTGTTTTGGTTTCTCTAGCCATAGGCTAAAGGAACGTTGTATCCAGAACCCCAAACCCTCTACCTGCATGGCCCACTGCAGCGGCTAGGGTATCAAGGGTCAGGATGAAGGAGTAGGGTTGTACTTGTGGGTGGTATCTAAACCCTCAACCCAAACTACAGGAGCTTAGGGTTTAGGGGAAAAATCTACAGCGTGCGCACCGAAAACCATAAAGCCGAAGCATCCCCAAGCTCAAAGCGCTGCAAAGACCCTCGGATTCTCCGGACGCCAAAAGCAGGGGACACAACCCTTAATGAGCATTATCGACAGAGCCTGTGCGGCATGTATCTTTCTGCTGGTACATGCAAATGAGCAACTGAATATGAATATATCCAATGATACATATATAAATATAGATATATATATATATATATACGTATATGTATATATAACTACATACGTCTAAACAAAATGTTATCGAGAGAGAGACAGAGACAGTGAGAGAATAGTAATAGGTTGGTTCTTCTGGCCATGGGCTGAGGAAGAAGCATTTGGAGCTGGAGCTCCAGAGCTTGCGAGAGGCGTCCAAACTTAGAGGTTCTAGGGTTTAGGGTTTAGGGTTTAGGGTAACCGGGTAGCAGGGTAGGGGTTGAGGGAGTTTCGGGCAACTCGAGATTTTGGGTATTGGGTTTGGAGTCCAGGGCTTTTGTTTGCAAAAGGCTGTTGGGGGTTGGTTTTGTTAGGGGCGTTTGGTTGCCGGTTGGGGTGTACAGGCTCCTTTGCCCACTACTTCCGGGGCTGTAGACACTTGCTTTACTCCGATCTGCAGGGTTCACAGATGCTCTCGTTTTTCTTGCAAGGTTCTGTAGTGAACCGAAGAAGGAGCAGCACAGTGCCCGGTTAAAGGGACCAGTCCCTAAACCAAGATCAGAGTCACTCTGCATCTCCCCAGAACATTGGGTTTTCACTACTTGGCGAAGTCGACCCGAGTGGCACTCAACGACAGCCTAAAGCCCAGCCGGCAGTCCCGAGAGGCCTATGCCAGGAAGATTTCCGACACTGAGCTCCAGCTTCTCGCCGCAAAAGACGATGGGAATTTAGCGCAGATCAACTTGGTTTTTTGCATGTTCGGGAAGTTGAAGCGGTGTCCATCAAGGCTCTGTGACACGATGTAGCGAGAAGGTAACTTCTTTGGAACAACACCGAACTCTCGCAAAGCCTGGAACCAGAAGCCAACAAGAATCCCAACAAGGGCTGCAGACCTTGGGTAATGACTGTTGTACGCACTGGGGCTCCACACTTCACGGCAGGGAGCAGGACTTCAAAGGACGGCAACAGACCCCTAAAGCCTCCGAAGCCTAAACTTCCCTGAACTTGCAATCTCCGCAGGTGTGAGAAGCAGATCGAGGCCGCAGAGGTGCGGAGAGTGGGGACATCTGGGGTGCTCTGCTTTCACAGATCCCTCAAAAACTGTAGGGTTCAGCTGGATATTGCAGGGACTATATTGGGCAGAACATGAGACTTTGCTATAAACGGCCCACACAGTCGGGGTACAGTACCTCGTACTTCACTGTTACTACCCATCAACAGAGGAGCCCGGCAGATCCAGCAATCTGCGCATGAAAAAGGGCTGGAGGTTTATGGTGGTCACCTTGCATACGGGTGCCTGAAGCCTCACCAGTCCTGAAACCAAGCCACGAGCCTTTTTGGGCACGCAGCCAACACCCCAATCGACTTAAATCGGCCTCTGCATTTGGTCCTTTGTGCCCCCAGGCGGATCGCAACGAGTGGTTCAAGAAGAAGAAGGCCCAAGTGGACAGAGGAAGTCGGGAGACACGTCCCATACAGTGTAGTAGCTTATTCCATAAGTTCTAAAGTGTCCATATACATATATATATATATATATTGCAAACACACAGCTTCATACATATACCGTAGGTGCGCATCTACGTGTTTTTTGTGTTATGACCCTATGTGAGCTTGAAACTGCGATGCAGTTCATGTCGGTTTCTTGTTAGGATGACTGCTATACTACCCAACGGGAGCTCCATTCAGGGTCCAGGTAAACATCGAAAGCTTTCGTAGCAGAAACAGTCTGCGGCATGGAGCTTGAGGAAATGAGTTCGAGAATCAGGAATTAACGTCTGTAGCTTAGCTTAACCCTAATCCCAAAATTAGA